CGACGCCTCTGGGGCTGCGCGGCGGGGGGCGGGTGGGTCGGTGCAGCCCTTGCCCTCTCCCGGCAGAGCACAAGCTGCTGAGCGCCGGCCCCACGGAGCCCTGGTCCATCCGCGAGAAGCTCTGCCTGGCCTCGTCCGTCATGCGGAGCGGGGACCAGAACTGGTAAGGGAGCGGGGCTTGGCGAGGGTTACGTGCACTGCTCTGCCTTTGGGTGTGCAAAGGCACTGGGCTCCCGGGGCAGAGCACGCGTTGTGCGCTGTACTGGTGCGTGGCTTTTCTCTGTGCTGGTTCGTTGTGCAACAGCTAGTCATAAACACTTCTGCTTTCTGTGCCCTTCCTGTTCAAAACAAAGTTGGGCTATTAAAGGTGGACGCATTAGACATGTACCTTGAAAATCTTTTTGCTTCTGTCATAAGTACTGTGTGAAAACAGAATTGTGTTAATGAGAATAGAGTAACGTCCTTCCAACATAACTTGGAAGAGGTGAGTTGTGGTCAAGGAGGATATTTGATAACAGACTCCTGTGCATTGCTTCTGCATTTGCAGGTCTGCTTTGCTACCTTTTTGACCTCACCAAAGTAAAGCTTTTGTGGAAATGCAATGGTGTCTTCCGAAGCTAGAAACTTGCTTTTCAAAGCAAGGGAGGGAAGCTGTTGTTTGTTTGGGAGTAGGCAAGTATTTCTGAGTCCAAGGGCTGTACTGCGATAATTCCCAAACGTAACAACTCATTGGCAAGTTCTTTGTGTTTATGGGGGATTCAGTGATGAACGTCAAGACAGGTCAGCATCTTTTCTCTGCATGTTGGTTGGGGAAGAAAGTAAGTTGACGGTGACTCGCCATTTCTCTCCTGTAGGGTCTCAGTCAGCAGAGCTATCAAACCTTTTGCAGAGCCAGGACGCCCACCTGACTGGTTTTCCCAGAAGGTAAGATACTGGCATTTGAGTCTTGGAAAAAATGGATTCTGCAGAGGATATATAAGACAGCTGCCTGAGATAACATATTTCTTGTTTTTGAAAAAGATAGCAAAATTAATTTTAAAAAATCAATTTTGTATAAATCAGATTAAATATTTCTGTTTCTGAAATTAAATTTGAGCTTACAATACAGTTAGATAAGGTTCAGGAAAAGACAAGGATGATCAAAGACATGAAACAGCTTCCTTGTAAAGGATGGCTAAGTGAGGTAGAACCTCTCAACATAAAAAAGAGATGAGTAATGGGAGATAGAACAGATGTCTGCATAATCAGAAGTAGCATGAAGTTGAAGATGAATAAGCATTAATTGTTAGTGCTTTGTCCAGTACAAGATTTAGAGGCTAGTAAGACAGACTAACAGGAGGCAAGTTCAAAGCAAGGCAGAGATTGTTCTTCACCAGACATATAATTAAGCTGTGGAATTCATTGCCCCAAGAATTTGTGGATGCCCATGTATTGTGGTGCGTCCTGCTGTTTGGGCAAGCACCTGAGATTTTTGTTGTATAAGAGCCAGAGAGACTAAGAGAATCAAGGGAGGAGAAGTTGGGGGTTGTTGCTTACTGTTTCTGTTAAGCTATGAAACTGGCCTTGATACAATGTTATTTTGTTTTCTCCACTGAAATATTTTTGGTTCATGTTCATAGACAGAAACGTTACAGTTGCAGTTTTCCTAATCATGCTGCTTGCTTTGATTTCTAAGTTGTTAGTTGGGAGCATGGGTTCTTTAGCTTTGATTTGGAGATCAGCCTGGGCAGGGCTAGAGTAGAAGAGTGAATATGCTTCCTCACTTTGCACTACACTATTATAGCCATGGGAGAAACTCTGGAAAAGACTGTCAGATATGTTCATAAAGTGTTAGACCTCTGAAGAAGTAGGAGTAAGTGCCCTGTAGGCTTTGTTGATAGGCGTTTGCTGATGCTGATTCTTTGGTGTCCTCTGACTTTCTTTGTTTCTCCTTAGCACTGTGCATCTCAGTATTCAGAGCTCTTGGAAACTACGGAGACCCCTAAGTGAGTACGAATTCTGAAGCAAGTGTAGTCTGCAGCAATTTTGGGTGGACTTGTCGGTTCTTACAGCAAAGGACTCGATAGTGCTCCTCCCAAAAGGAGCATACAGGAATGAGGAAATTCACTTGTGATAGCTGGCATGGGTGGGCAGTGGGATCAGGATATGGCAGATAGGGAAGATTGGCAAACCCAAGGTATTTCTTAGAATCATAGAATCATAGAATCATTTAGGTTGGAAAAGACCTTTAAGATCATCCAGTCCAACCATTAACCTACACTACCAAGTCCACACTAAAACAATCAAGGGTAGAATAGACAAAACCTTGTCCCAAAGTGCCACATCTACCCGTTTTTTGAACGCTTCCAGGGATGGTGACTCCACCACCTCTCTGGGCAGCGTGTTCCAATGCTTGACTACCCTTTCCGTGAAGAAATGCTTCCCATGTCTCCTTATCTTCTATCCTTGTTTTTCGTAAGACCGAAGTATTTCAGTATTACATGGTTCTAAAACTGGTTGCTGTGTACTTGTTAGTGTCTTCTATATGCGCCTACTGTTGTTACAATACATGGCAGGGTAATTGGGGCCTCTTTGCCACAGCTCTTTTTGTAATAGTTGCAGTGCATATTTGGGGACTTAATGCAGCAAAAAGAAGCATTTATTTGGCTGGAAGAAAACAGTACATATTAGTCTTATTGATCAGAAGCTTTACACATAAAATTATCATTCAGACTAGAGGTAGAAAAGACAGCAAGAGTCAGAAGGGGAAACGTTTTGTACTGGTCTCTGTTTTGCAATGGTTTCTTATAGTTTTCTTATCAATGCTATCACTACAGCTTTGTGGTCTCAGATCTCACTCCTATATCCAGGCATTTTGTTTTGAGACTTCACATCAAATTAAATTAAAGACAGGATGTCTAAAAGTAGTCTTTCTTTGTGATTAATGCTGAAGATCATTCAGCATTAGAGTTGCAAAGACAAAAGACTTAGTAGAGTTATTGAGGAAAAAAAATAGATGTTTCTTCGTGGGTAGTACGAATCTTCTCTGAAGTTCATAGAATCATAGAATCATAGAATGCTTTGGGTTGGAAGGGACCTTTAGAGGTCATCTAGCCCAACACCCCTGCAGTGAGCAGGGACAAGTTGAATGACTGATTTTTTTTCAGGTTAAGAATTTGCAGTGGGCTTGCATCTTTGATCTATTCCTAAAGTCTTTAACACTGGACACATTTAAGAATTAGATAAACTTTTCAGAAGAGATTGTTGGAACATTGTGCTGTCCAGTATCATTTAAGAGACATTGGAACAGGAGGTTGATTTTTTTTTTTGTGCATGTTTGTGTCAGGAATGACAGACAGCAGCCATTTATGCAAGGAGAACTGGGGTTTTCTGTGTTTCATGTCTGAACTGTTTTGTTTTTCTCTTACTCTATAGGAGAAAACGTGGTGAGAAGGGAGAAGTTGTGGAAACTGTGGAAGATGTTATTGTGCGGAAACTGACTGCAGAACGAGTTGAGGAGTTGAAGAAAATTATTAAAGAAACACAGGAGAAATACAGGTATGTGGCGGAGGCATGAAGCTGTGGTGCACCTGACAGTGCTGTCTTGAAAAAGTGGCCTAACTGGGATGGTGCTTGGGGTGAAAATGCTGCTTAGGGCTTATTGTTCAGTGATAAGTAATTAAGAAGATTTTCTGATTACAGGCAACTCAAGAAGGATGCAGAGCTGATCCAGGCTGGACACATGGATAACAGACTGGAGGAGCTGTGCAATGAGATTATGATGTGGGTTATTTAATTATTTCGATGTTATGCTTTCTTCTGAGATTGTAGTTGCCTCACACTGTGTGTTTGTCAGACACCTCTTGCTCCATGTACATTGGGTTAAGAGAAACAGGGTAGCTGGGCAGATGCTTTGGCCTCTGAGAGTGGACTTAGTTTAGATTGGGGGGCACCAGCTTGTGTGGAACATCTTTTGGAGTTTCTCAGTGAAGAGCTCGGTGATGGCTTGCAACATCATGCTTGCCTCCTCTGTTTTGATAATCAGCTGGAAGTGAAGTTTCCTACCAAGTGTGTCATTCTCTGACTGGCCTCTGACTCTGCTTCCCTCCTTAGAGGATTTGAGCCCGAGTCTGCAGAGGCAGGTCATCGTTGTCTGGAGATAATGGGGTGGGGGTAGGTAAGCTGCAGGAGGAACTAAGGGGAAGCGACACATTGTGTGACAGTAGGTTTTGGTTCTGTATACAGAAAGAAGAAAATGGAGGAGGAGGAGGCAGAAGTCAAGAGGAAGGCTACAGATGCTGCTTACCAGGGTAAGCTGGAAATGAGCTTCCTCACTCTTCCTCAGAGACAGATGCATATGTTCATAAGGACATTTGGAAAGTATTTAAGTCTTGTTAAGACCTGTTCAGGAGGAATTCTGTGACCCTAGGAGCTGGAAAGAAAGATTATATTCTCTTTCCAGCACTGTATTTGTAACAGGGCAAAATGCAGAGACTTCTGAGAAGGGAACAAATTCTGTAGAAAAGGTATATCTAAGAGGAAGCAGGATTAGCAAGGAGCTCTGTGTTAGAATGTCAGGCTTTTCACCCCTTTAGTTTTCCCTATAGTTTTACCATTGTCTGAAGATAAAAGGAAAAGAGATTTGGTCTGAATGTTTAATTCATTTATAATTCCTGGGGCAATTCAGTGAACTAACCTACCAGTGGTGGGAGGTGGTGAATACCCAACTGCTAGGGAAGTCTAAAATTAAAGTGCATTACCCAGTGCTAGTAGTATTTATGAACTGAGTCTAGTGTGGTGCAAGAAATGCCTACAATGTAAATTGGTTTTTTAGGGTTCTTTATCCCAAAGTCAGAGGTAACTCTCAGGGGCTGTCCAAGATAGAGTCATGGAATCTCACTTTTTTTTCTGTTCTCCTCCAGCTCGTCAGGCCATTAAGAATCCGCCACGACGATTAACGGGTGTGATGGTTCGCTCCCCTGCAGGCTCAACCTCCCCAGGGGGAGAGTATGCTCTGGGAGATCTGTCTCAGCCTGCTGTGGACGAGGCCAGTCCAGGGGTAAGGATGCTTCCCATGGTAAGAGGGAAAGACCAACTTGGGACATGGGGCTTTGTGTCCGTCATGGAACAGGAGCCTGGGGAGAAGCCCTTACCTTGTTTTGCAGACTTTTCTCTGTGGTAGTGCTGTAGTGTGGTTGTCCTCTTCCATGTCTGTGATGATCAGGTGCCTGGATCAAAGGCTATGTAGGGGCATCAGTGGGTTGGCCAGGCAGTCTTCTGTGTGTGCCTGGGAAATGGCACTACAGGGCAGGGAAAGGGTGAAAGCATATGCCTGGAGTAGGTGTAGCGAGTGAATGGAGTAGGTGTCTGTGGTGTGCTGGATCAATGCTCTTGGGGGAAGGAGCAAGTGGGGCTAGTCCGTGTGGTGGAGTGTGGCTTTGAACAGTGTGGTTTTTCTCTTTCTCAGGTCATTCCAGGGACATTGCCCAGCACCCCAGTTGCCTCCTTCATTGGAATCCCTGACACCCCTCCAGGCTCTGCTCCCCTGGATGCCCCCATGACCCCAGTCACTGATGATTCACCCCAGAAAAAGATGCTAGGACAAAAAGCAACTCCGCCTCCTTCCCCTCTGCTCTCAGAGCTGCTGAAGAAGGGCAGTCTCCTGCCCACAAGCCCCAGGCTGGTATGGAGCTCTCTGCTCATATATGCAAGCACACAAACAATTAGCTCCAGACTCTCCCACTGAAAAAGGGGGAGCTGCAAAGGCTTTTTAAAAACATACAGTTTTTGTTTAAGAGTCCCAACAGAAGTGATATCTGAGAGATATAATTACCCCTGTGAGCCACAGATGTGGGACCCTTTCCCGGCAGTACTGTGGGTGCAGGACTGCAGGTATTATTCAGCACACAGGACTGGCTATCTCCCCTCAGTCATAAGGAGCTGGAGTTGCAGGCTTTGCTAGAGAAGATCGTTTTCCCCAGGGGAGGGGGCATGGTAGCATCATCCCGATCAGTCTCCATGGAGGTGTTCTTGGTGATTTCTGCTTTGGGCTCACAATTATTTACATCTTGGCAGGAAGTTGAGTTTCAGTATTTGTATTGGGTCTTAGCATAGGCGTAGGGAGTCCTTTGATGGGGTTCATGACCAATATTGAAGCGCTTCAGTCTTCTCATAGTTGTAGACAGTTATTAAAATTGCTGTGATGACAAGACACTTTGACCATTCTGGTGTTAGTGACTCTGGAAGTCTTACAAGGGCAACGAGTCCAGTCTGAAAATAGCAGCCATCAGCCTGCCCATGGCACGGATTCCCTGTGTTAGTGCTTGTGTGATGGAATAGGTGTATTGCTCTTGACTTACTTTTTTTAATATTCAGAGTTGGGGTCTTTTCTATTTGTTAGCCTGGGTAAATGTTCCCTGGGTTCTGTGTTTGCAGGGTGCAATGTAACATAGGGTGGAGCAAGGAAAGATAATGGCTGTCAAAGACTGGGTTTTCTTTGTATCAACAGGACTGTTTTAAATCTGCTTCAAGGTCCGTCATAGGTTTGTTATGTGACCTTGATAGAGTTACTTTCCGTCTTGGTGCTTCAGTTTCCCTCAACCCAAAATAAGGGATAATTCCGTGCCATCTCAGGGGGGTAGGGAGACTGGTACCTGTAAAGGACTGTGAGGTCCTTGAACAGAGGAACTAAGGTATAGCAAATGATGTATTTGGCCTAACTTCAAAGGGAAGTGGCACTGCAGCTGTATTGTAGCTGAAGAAAACAACTAGTTTCAGACTGTCATGTTGTGCACTTGCATAAGAGGCCTCAAGCAGGTACTAGACTGGACAAAAAGCACAAAAAAATCCTGAGACAGCAAATGATGGACATATTCATGGAGGTGCATATCTGGCAGTGAGTCGCTGATGTGATGGTATCTCCAGGAACTTCAGTTCTGTCCTCCTTTGGCAGGTCGGTGAAAACGAAATGGCAGTGGCTTCTGGTCACATGAACAGCTCAGGAGTCCTGCTGGAGGTAGGAAGCGTCCTTCCAGTGCTGCACAGTGGGGAAATGCAGTCGGCACCTGGTGCTGTCCCTGCATCTCCTGCTGCTTCAGGTAACTCAGGACTCTGCCTGTACAGTTCTCCCTTCAGATGTACCTTCAGACTGTTCTGTGAATTCTCTTTAGAGAGAGATGAAGGACATCTAGCCTGGCTGGCTTTGGGGCTTCTTTATGAGTTGTATTGCTATTTCTGTACCCACGTCCCTCTCACCCCTACTTTTTTTTAAGAAGACTCTAATCCTTACAGAAAAAAGTGTGCTGCCTTGATCTAAAATGACCAAAACAATTAGACTTGATTCGATCCTGGTCCATGCAGTCTAGTTTTCTGGTTTTGACACAGGCTAATAGCAGGCATTTCAGTGTAGAAAGAAAGGGCTAGTTGACAGGGAGTTGGGGAAAAAATGGTCCAGTATCTGATTCCCAATGTTTCAAACTGCAGCTTCCTATGAATCTGGAGAACTCATGTGTCTTGCCTCTGCTTTAGCTTAGAGGTCTGTTGAGGATTAGACCACAGTGGACTCCAGAGTAAGTTCCACAGAGCGGGGTGAGAGGGACAGTGCAAGAGTCTTTGCATTGGACCTTGTCAGAGCAACCTGACTAAGGTGAAGTTTCTTCTCAGCTCATGCTAACCTGTTCTTTAAGACCTGTTAATTTGGTCTAGACAGTTCAGTAAATTCAGACTGGAAATTACAGCTAAGATGAGTGGCAACCTTTGATATAAAGAGGAATTTTCCATGAAAGACCTGCAAAGAGATCCCCTCTGCTCCCTTCCAGCTATTGTGATGACTGACTGTCTTGGCTTACCTTGTGTGGCGCTCTCAGCACTGTTTTTCGGATTTCCCGTAATTGTATTGGGATGAGTTTTTGGAAGGGCATCTCTCTGCATGTGTGGCTTAGCCTGTCCAGCCCTTACACTGAACACAGTGTCCCATAGTCTTGCATGATTCTGTCTCAGACTGCACACACAAAGGAGTCATGTGTTTTTGGTGCAGCTTTTGGGACCATTTATAGGTACCTCTCAGTGTCTTTTCCCAGAAGAAGCCACCAGACAATGAAGAGCCCAGTGGTGGCTTTGTGGACTTCAGTGGTGGCTGCTTCTTGCTCATGTGCTTTTCCCTTCTACTCTCTGTTAGGTGCTCCTACGCTTTCCCGGCTTTTAGAAGCTGGTCCTGCACAGTTCACCTCACCTCTTGCTTCCTTCTCCGCTGTTGCCAGCGAACCTCCAGCTAAGCTCCTGCCACCCCCCGTAGAGCCTGTGTCCCAGGCAACCATTGTCATGATGCCCACGCTGTCAGCACCATCCGTTGTGCCACCAGCTGCAGCTCCAGAAAGCGTACCCACAGGTGCGTTCCTGAACTACGCACTCGTAGGTCATGCACTGCTGGAAAACAGAAATTCCCGTGGGATCAGCACCCAGTGAGCTCTCAGCTGGCCTTTATCACCTGAGATTTGCTGTCCTTGATGAAAGGACACTTATGGCTGGGTTCTGGAGTAAACAGATGGTTTTAAACTGGATTTGCTGGGTGGGGGTGGGGGTGCTAATGGTATGTTGCTGGATTGTGGTTCAAGGGCTGGAATCTCACTTTGTCTCTACTGTGGGAAAGCAAACCTGTATTTGTCTTTCATTTTTCTAAGTCATGCTGTTGTGGGTGGACCTGGGATACTTGCAGTTGGTGCTTGGTCTTATCCGCTGCAGTATTCGTTTATGTGGGCTTGACTTCTCCAGATTGGTCTCTGATTGTCACTCTCATCCTTGTGCAGTGAGCCAGCCAGAAGCCTGTGTTTCCATGGAGGCAGTGTCTGATTCCCATACCGTGACAGTGTCCATGGACAGCAGTGAAATATCCATGATCATTGATTCCATCAAGAAAGAGTGCCTGGGTTCTGGGGCTGGCAGCACTGCAGGGTCTTCCAAAGATCACTGCATGGATGGGAAAGAAGACCTGGATTTGGCTGAGAAAATGGATATTGCAGTGTCCTACACGGGGGAAGAGCTGGACTTCGATACTGTTGGAAATATTATAGCCATCATTGAGGACAAGGTAAATGGGCAAAGCAGAGTGCCAGTGCCTTTTGCTCCGTATCCAGTTAGGTTAATTTCAAGTGATTACTGTTCACCAATTTAGATAGTTTAAACAAGCAAGAAATAACTCTTCCAAAACACACGTTCTCACCATCGTTGTCCAGATCAATAGGAAATGACCCTGTGACACCACTGCTGCTAGTCTGCCACATTTAGCCTGGTGCTCCTCTTCAGAGTGCAGAAAGGAACCTTTCTTCCTCATGTTGGGTAGGGTTTGGGTCACATCTCTGGCAGACAGATGAGTGCTGCTTGCAGCATACTTTCCAGGAGTGTTGTATTTCTGAAACTGAAGCTCCGCGGGAGACTCCACAGGGAGTGATACGAGTCTGGCTGCGAAAGGCAACTTTGTAAACCTAGTACACCGGGTTTTCCACAATTGTCTCATTACCAAATAACACGAACATTTTTTTAATCCCTCTTTCTGACCTTGGCCTGCACTGCTGTGTGTTTGTTTTGGCAATAAAGGTAGACGACCACCCTGAAGTCCTGGATGCAGCAGTTGTTGAAGCTGCTCTGTCTTCTTTCTGTGAAGATACCGATGACCCTCAGACCCTGCCTGGCCCATGGGAACACTCAATTCATCAGGAGCACGAGAAACAGGCCCAGATACCCCAAGTGTCTGTGACTGTGAAGCAGGAGAGACTGGAGTGTGAGGAGCCAGAGGCAAAGGGAATTCGAGACCTAATGGGCATTGGCGAGCTGGGATCAGAAGTAAAGACAGAACCTGCAGAGCAGGAGCAGAATCAGCTGGGCCCTGAGGAAACCATACCAGCAACTGCAAGAGTGACAGAATCACCAGAGCTTAGAAGTCAAGATATAGAAGAGGATCAAAGAGCAGCTGTAGCAGCAGGAGAGTCTTCTGAAACTGAGATAGAATTGTCCAAGGGAGAAGACACAGTGCACAATACAGTGAAGACAGAGGTATGTGAGCGGAGAGGCTGTCTGGAACTGGTGTGGGGAAAGAAAGGAGCAGTTGTGGCAGGTAGGAGAGAAGTTTAGAGGAAGGATGACTGCTGGGTTGAAGTGACCCTTCAATGAATGTGACTGACTGTTTTCTTGGGAGTCATGCTGCTGATCTGTTCGATCTGCAGAGAAGCTCTCTGCTTTAGGCAGCACTTTTATGTATCTCCTCCCCGCCCATGTGCAGAATTGCTGTTGGGAAGGTGCTCAGTGAACTTCATTGCCTTCAGTTAGGTTAGGGTGAGTGAGATGTGCCCACACCTTCACTGAAGTAAGCTGACACAAACATCTAGATTTGTGCATTTCTCTTCCCTCCAGACCCCACCTGATGATGATTCATCCCCTCCACAAGTCCCAAATGTGAGTGAAGACTCCTCACAGGCTGATGTTCAGCACAAATTTGAGCTGTCAGGTAACTTAATTCAGCTAGGAAATCTTTTACATGCAACATTATTAGCTGGATAGATGTCAGTGATCTGGTTCAGGTTTTTTGGGGAGGAGGGAGAAAAGATATGTGTAGGAACAGTGGTAATTACTGCAGGACAGTAGGCATTGGTGCAGGAGCTTTTGTAGGAAAGACTGCTTTAGAGAATCAACCTTTCTGCTTTTCTTTAACAGAGTCAATGAAGGAGGAGGCCCAAGCCCTGTTCAGGAGTCAGATGAAGGTAATTCTGGATTGGTTGTAGTCATCTTGAGTTCATTAGTAACATCTCACTGCTGCCGCTTCCTGGCTCCCATCTGCTGAAGAGCAAAGCTTGCTTTCAGCTTTCTGCACTGCGAAGAGAATTGGGCAGTCTGCAGTTGGAGCTAAAGGGGAGATTGCTTCAGGCACTATAAAGCTGTGTGTATGTGTATTTCTGTTTCTGCAGGGGGAGGCAGGGCAAGACAGAGTGACTAGGATTTTGTGAAAGTGCCTGTACAGTTGTCAGCAGC